GCAGGCGACATCGTGTCTGTTTGCAGAGTCTACTAGAGAGGAAAAAATAAAATCCCAGAAAAAAACAACGAATTTCTTATTAGTTACCATTAATTTATTAATAAAATTTAATAAGCTAGGTTAACATCCTAAGAATTTGCCGCCATATTTATAGGTAGTTTTGAAGAATTTATTTCGCTTGAGTAGTCTTTGCCATTGACAAATTCAACAAATCTCTATTTTTAAAAAAATCACAAATAAAACACGTGGTTTTTACAATTTTAAATGTAGCAGGTTTTGGAAGAATTAGCGTTTTTTTAAATAAAAAACTAGACTGAAAATCTAGAAGGATGGCTTTTTAAAGGAAATTTAAATCTGTTTAAAAATTCACAAATAAAACACGTTTTTAAAACTAAAAATTAGCGTAAAAACAATCAAAACAGACAAAAAAGAGACAATAAACATAGGGAACGCCCAAAATTACGTTGAATCATTTTTTTTTGGAGGTGTGTGCTTTTTTTATTAGGTTTAAGTTGGATTTAACAAATTTCTGTATTGTTGTTTTGTAAAAATTCACAAATAAAACACGTTTTTAAAAATAAAAATTCAAAGTAAAAATCAATCAATACACAAAAAAGAGGCAATAAACATAGGGAACGCCCAAAATTACGTTGAATATTTTTTTGTGTGTGTGCTTTTTATTAGATTTAAGTTGGATTTAACAACTTCTGTATTGTTGTTTTGTAAAAATTCACAAATAAAACACGTTTTTAAAAATAAAATTCAAAGTAAAAATCAATCAAAACACAAAAAAGAGGCAATAAACATAGGGAACGCCCAAAATTACGTTGAATATTTGTGTGTGTGTGCTTTTTTATTAGGTTTAAGTTGGATTTAACAACTTCTGTATTGTTATTTTGTAAAAATTCACAAATAAAACACGTTTAAAAAAAAATTAAAATGCAATGTAAAAATCAATCAAAACACACAAAAAAGAGACAATAAAAATAGTGAACGACCAAAATTACGTTAATCTTTTTTTTTGTGTGAGTGCTTTTTTATTAGGTTTAAGTTCTTTTTGTCTGCATTTAGTGTACTTATTTCGTCCTTTTCAATTTTGCACAAAAGTTGATTATCTAGGTAATTAAACAAAATCGTATATCGCTAGAAAGCTTATGAAAGGAAGAAGTTGTGAAATTTGCCAAGCTCTACATTGAATTTTTCCGACGAAGTCGAATTTAGTTAAATCTAGTTATTACAATTTTAAATTTAGCAGTTTTTGAAAGATATAGCGTGTTTTTTTGTTTTTTTAATTAGACTGAAAATCTAGAAGGATGGCTTTTTAAAGGAAATTTAACGCTCTTTTCAACAGTTGCTTTGGATTTCCCCAGAAAGGAATAGTTTGAGTTAGTTTTCTTTTGTATTCTTTTTTATTAATTATTGTTGTAGCAAAACCGTATCACATTCTGGTTGACGGATATCCAAGCCGTATGTGCTATTGCTATACTTCTTTATGCTATAGCTTCTTTTTTACTACGTAAATTATACTTAAATAAAGAATCTTATTATTATTATTATTAATGAAAACCTGTATACAACCCCGGCAGGAAACACACTTAGAAGCTTCTGTCGCCGTTCACCCCGGTTCTAAGATAGCGGTTTCACAGTAAACTCATATTTTATTATGTGCGATTGGATGTCGTCGACAACTGGGCTATGGGCTGAATGACCTATTCAAATACAGAAAATGTACTAAAAGCTAAGTAATTTTTCATTATGATAGCAAAAAAGAAAAAGAGAAAAAAAAGGAGGTCGGGATCTTTCCTTTCAGTGACATAAAGGCAAACATTCGATGCTGCTCCCTCGCGGCAACTATGCTCACTCGGTCGCATTCCGCTGAGATCATTCATCTTTCCCCTCTATTTCATAAATCGGCCTTTACGGGAGGCGATTTTTTGAGTTTTGAGTCGTTTTTTTCCGAGCGGACAAAATCCGCGAGACCGTTTGACCGTCTCGACTTCGGCGAAAAACTTATGCATAAACTATCATGCTCTACTATGTATGAGATGTGGTTGTTCATGAATTGTGTTGTTAGTTTACTATATTCAAAAGTTATCGGATCGGATAAAGCGATCGTGGATTCGGCACAGACGTGATTAAACGAAATGGGGTGCCGCTTTTCCGAAATTGCACACAATGTCGTCGGACGTCGATTCAACTCGCTGGGCCGTTTTTCATTTCTTAGTTTCGTTTTTTTCTTCTGAGAAACCGAAAAATGCCAGCGCGGATGAGGCCTCGGAGGAATTTCCCGTTGTCCTCACCTAATGGAATTCCTACGCCTACCTCCCGCTACCGAAATTTTCCCTCTGTGGATTAAATTTTAGATTCTTTTTAAATATTTAAACAGTGTGAATTCACTCAGACGTTCATCCAGCCTTCACATGCATTTTTAAGCTGGTAATTGTACGAAAAATTGACATAAAATTCCTCCTGTCTTAACTCCCCCTAAACGTAGTGAAACGCTTGGCCAAACCAAATTCCGTCATAGCTCAATTGTTTTCAAAACATCTTCCGACAATACTCACTCCACATAATGACATAGTTAACCAGAACCCCCGGTATAACATTGAACACAACTTGAATATACCCTTGCTACTCACTAGTCACCCCTCCTGAAGCATTTACTCCATCAGATATACGACACAATTTTAAATAACTACCTAGAAAACCTCCAGGATATGATCTAACACTGTACTTAACATACCTATGCAACCCTGTACTCAGGACATATTTTCCAATGCAACGGAATTTCTCAATAATTAAAATGGTTCATAAGACAAGATTCTGACCTTCCTAGTTTCTATCCCCATTAGTTTCCTTTCTATTCTTGCCCAAAATCTACAAAAACTACTTCTCCGACGATTACTGTTATAATTGAAACTTGAAACAAAACAGCTTGGATGACTTTCATGGTTTAGAACAGGCAGTCTGCACTCGGAGTTGCTTTGGAAACTGGAAAACATCTTCACTCATAAGTACTATCTCACACTGAGATCTTTTTGACGGACCGATTTTGGGGAGTACGTAAGGGAACCGATTCTCCCCTTATTGGCGGGTGTTGCTCAGGGAAGCATACTTGGACCATTTCTATTTTCTACGTACACTTCTGATATTCCTACGCGCGCTAATACATTCGTTGATGATACAGCGATTCTTACTCGTAATTCGGACCCCCCTCGATTAACACTCAACATCTAAATGAATTAACAGTATAGTTCAAGAAGTTTGAATTCTGAACTGAACGAAAAGCGTACGGGTAAAATTTCCTTTATGTAAAAATATCTGTTCTACTGTGAGTATAAATGAAACCCCATTGCCTACTACTGACCTTGTGCGTTATCTTGGTCTTTTCTTGGATAAACAACTAACTTGAAATCCCCACACAACATAAAGCAAGAAACAAACCGACGGAATTATTAAAAAGTCTACTTGACTCACGATCAAAAATAGACGTTGAAAACCAACTTTTAATTTTCAAGACAATGATCAGACCCCACTGGGCGTACGGTTGTGAAGTGTGGCTCAACCAAGGATTCCAATTCCAAACGTATCCAATCATTCACTCAAAAATACTCCGCCAAATGATAAAACTGCTCCTTTTTATGTTTCAAAGTACGCTATTCATAATGACCTACCCATCCCGTTTGAACATGAACTCATCGAAACCCGCTATCACATCCACAATAACCTACTAGTACGTCGGTTATCACTTCTAACCCTACCAGAAATTCGTCCAAAACTATTCAAGCGATGCCCGTCCTCAATGAGTGACTAATAACGAGGTTTCTGAGTGAAGCAGTGTTGTCACCGGGCAACTTCTCCTACAAGAGACCCAAATGACAAATTCACTATATATGAACATGTTTATTTAATGCAATATTAGAAGTTGTAAATATCATATAAACGTAATAAAAATAAATAAAAAACTTGCGGCTTACACGTAAATTGAAATCTTACATAGAACACCAGAGGAAAAAGCTCAAGAGGCAGAGTGAAAGTATGTTACCATGTCTGGCTAGAAACCTACAACAATTTAGGAACAACGGCTCCTGTGGGAACTCGGGAGAAATGGGCTTTCCTATTAAAAGCGCCTTCGGTCGAAACTAAGTCGAGAAAGGCCCCTTGACCACCAACGATACATCGGTAAAATAACTTCGAGGGACTTAACTGGAGGATTGTCCTTATTTTATTACGATCCTGTTTTATTCCTAGAGATAGCGGTCCCAGAAACCGTCTCTCCTTTTATTTACACCTGCATCGGCATGCGGACCTTTCAGGAATTTAGGCTTAAACTTTCTATTATAGTTAGGACGTGTCGTACGTTTAGGGCGGGCAATAACGAAGTATCAGCGAAATTGAGAAGGGTGGACGAACGATCTATCTTAGCTATCTCTCCTCTCACCTTCGACCTCCTTTCGAAGGAATTGGCAGCAATCTACTGAAATAGTAAGTTTACTGTTCTACCGTTCTACCAATACGTGATGCACGTTTGATGGAGGGTCGTAGAACCCTTTAAGCCTAACCCGCTCTGTATCAGTTTTGTAATTAAAATATTTACCCGTTTAAACTATCAAATTCAATTATTCGATTTTTTCAAACAATCAAAATTTCAATACGAGTACGTATAAATAGCTACTTCAAGTCCTGATGATATATTGATCGAAAATAAAATGTACTAATTCATTACAGTTATATCTTGTGATTTATTCTATTACAAATTGAGAAAAATGAACAATCGTTTATCAGACATCATATTACCAAAGATCTGGAGAAGAAGTTGGATAACCGGGCTATTATTCGAAAGTTGTCCAATTAACTCCTAATTACAGTTGAATCTCGACTGTACATTCAAATATATTGCCTTTCGACAAAATAGACTAATATATTTGACACTATATTTTGTATTCATGACACAAACAAGCAAGAATAACCAGTAAAGTATCTTTGTGGAATGTACTTACGAAGTGCTGGGGTAGAGGTAGCAGCGGTGGATGCTGCGGCGACAGTATGACATGCCTGAGGGTGCCGCTCTCGTCGACTATTTGCTGGACGACGTGGCCGTGAGGCACCTGGACAGGCATGGCGATCGGTGGCGACGAGTTGGTCGACACCATAGGCACCGTCATCGGACCTGAAAACCAAAGAAAATAGTGAGTTTGGTGGAAACGGACGGACCGAGATGGAGGACGAGGGACGTCGACCTCAACCACCGACCGGACTCCAGGAAAAACAAGAAAGCTCTTCTTAATGTCATAACTGTTTTCATAATTTACGCTTAATACAATGAATAACAAAGCAAATGTTTCAAAAAGTTAAAATAAAATACTTAATACGCGTAGAGTTGAACTAAATATACTGAGAGAAGGTCGCCTTTTTGTGGAGAGCTAACATTAAATAATTACCGTTAACAATAAGCTTTTTCTAATTCTACATTTTTTATTAGTTTTTATAAAAATATTTTTCCATGTACGAAAAAAACCGTTGAAAACTTTCCATTTCGAGTTATTTGTGAAACTACTTCTTACAACTTAATATACTCAATATCATAGAATTATTTTGAAAAATATTTATCATTCTGGCAAGCCCAAGGGATCACAAAAACAAGTGATACAGAATCATATCTAACGGTTTATTTTTTTTTCTTGCGAGAGAGGGGAAAACCATGTAGCTAGATAAAAGAAGAATGTACTGCGCGTCGGTGGTGGCAATCCAGCGGAATGAACAAGACTGTTAACATTTAATCCCCTAAGCATTTTAAGCACATATCAAAAGATAATAAATAAAATGTGTAAAAGATATTTCTCATATTTGTTTAATTTTACTTATTTTGTATCATATACATATTCGTATATATTACAAGTGTGATTATAGGACGATTTTTTTCATACGGTCACAATATTTACATTAATTAAATCCATTTTATTTTGTGATCCGATTGACCACTTCTTTCAATTAAAATTATCTTTTTATGTAAGGTATTGATATATGAAAAAGCTGGTGTCACGAGCGGGATTCGAACATACGACCTCCGGCTCAATACGCCGCTGGCCTACCTACATGAGCTATCGTAACTTCCGTACACTCGGAGACTAACACTTACCTCAACCCTTCGAATTTTCCCTACTTTTTGCCATTTTTCATTAACACTATTGCCACTGCTGCACCCGAAGGACGTATGATATAAGAAACCAGCCAATGCTGGTATGGCACTCAGCGTGATCTGACACTTTCAATTAATTTTTGGAGTGAAGAAAAAAAATCACTGTTTCATCATTTCGTTTTCAAATTCTTTACTATGAATATAAATTTCGGAGGGCCGTACACGGCTCCACGGGATCATAGTAACCTGCTTTCAACAGTTGGCCCTCTGAACCTTCAAAGCGTCACAAATCGTTCTATACCTGTTACTAGTAATTTCTCGGTCTTTTTTTCAAATTTAATTTATTAGAACACATGTATTGTAAATGTGATCACGTATATTTTTTTTCGCAGGCACTAAGTGTGAGGGATTATAGGGGCAAGGAGGTCCCGAGGCCATCGTCGATTAAGGAGTGTGTGAGAGTGCAAGGGGTAGGGTAGATCGAGAGGATGGAACTGTTGAAATCGGGAATCCTTCATAGACAAAAGGAATGTTGAGCTCGGTGTGTATAGTGAGATTAGTAAAAAGTTTTGTCCATTTGTCTGAGGACTTTTGATTGGAAGGATTGGATGTGCTGGATGTTAGATGGCTTGATAGAACCCCACAGTTCAGTTACATAAGCCCAAAGAGGTATCAGGAAAGTGTTGTATAAGGTTAGTTGACGGTCAAGACGGATATCGGTCCTGGAAACCTTCGTAGTTGTCCAAGTCTTCGTTAAGTTGTTTTCTCTTATTCCTGTCAGGTATAGTCTTATGTATTTGACTTGAATTTAAGTCGATATATCTTTGTGTTGGTGTACAAAGGAAGGCAAGACTTTGTTTTGAATGTGAACGAAAACACTGAGAACATTTTTCTTCATTCAGTCTTTTCCACCAGTTTTTGCACAGTCTTCGATAAGCCCAAGGTGTTATTGGATGTTGGAGATAGCTAAACAGGATTCGAGTTAGATGACAAAATTGCGGTAACTCTTTGAACTTTTTTTCATTACTTGAGAGCTTTTCGTCAGGCCAAGACGGATTTCACAGCTAGTAAACCGAGATAAAGCCTCCGCTTGTGCTGTTAAAGGAAAAGTCCAATTTAACATGCCGCCGGCCTTTAAACACGCAAAAAAATTTATTCCAAGCCTAACGTAATTATTTTTGAATTATAAATATATCGACGATCGGCGTTGCAAAATGCAAAATCACGTTGCTTTTACGTAAAGGCTATGATTATTTTCAAACGGCCCTTCGATTTTTGCTCGCAGTGCGGGGAGTTTAATAAAATTACGCAACGTATCCTCGGTTATTTTTATTATGAAAATTACATACAAAATAACCTTGACGTTTACCTAGCCACTTCCTGTTTACAAGCAGTGTTAATTTACTGAATAACGTTGACATAATTTTCAATTTTGACAATCAGGAAGGAACGAGAAAACAAGATTCGGGGACGCCGGAACAGACCAGTTTTCGGAATTTTACCAGTGTAATAACACTTGATTTAAGTGTTAAGTCTGTAATGTAGACAAAAAACAAAAATAAATTTATTAGCTGTATATTTAATACATTATTATGGGAAAAAATTATGATGTAGAACAAAATAATGTAAAAAAAAAGTCCTAGGCGAAGGAATTAACGAAACGTCCAGTTTCCGGCCTCGACGACAGAATTCCTGAGCAAATTTGCATGCGGTTTAATTTATGCACACACTTCACCCACTGACCTCACTCTCATATTAAAGCCAACTGGTCGTTACACACGCACGTACATAATATGCAGTTCCGACGTACGCAGTGAAAATCGATTTTTACAACCCAGTGCCTCCGCATTTTTGCCAAACCGATTGTCACGAAGAATGACCCACAAGGGAAGAACTTACATTTTCCACAATATATGGAATAGCAATGTTTGTTTTATCTAGAGTTGTTGTGGTTATGTTGTTCAATGCTTTGGGCACTAGGGTCAATGAAATATCGTCGACCTTCTCGCGGTGCTAGTGATAGACATAATATACATGAGAATCGGCAAAACGGTGGTTGTTGTCGGGATACCCGGATACCTAGGTGTGGAGGGTGGCTCGTACAGAAAGGGTCATTTTCATCCGATTAAGAATAGGCCATGCGAGGTTGACACACGGACACTTCCGTTTGTACCAAAACCCGCGTAGTGTCCGGCAAGCAGAAAAAGGTTGCTAGATGTGTCCCACCTAAATGAAGGGTGCCAAACATATTAGAAAAGAAAAAGAGCTCTGAGGGTCAAAAATGGAGTTCTACAAGCTGTCGAATCAAATCAAATCACAAGTACTCGTGTACTTACTTACAATGGAGTATGGACTGTCAAAGACTTTGACCAGCCATTCCTTGGCTCAATATAGAGAGCGTATAGGACTGCCACCCGATCTGAGAAGTGCCCTTGGAGAACGGCATCGAGGAATTGAGTCCTCTGTAGTATATAGTAATGATTTCTGTCCGTAGCTTGTGTTGCGAGTGAATGTATTTATTATCGTGAATGTGTAGTGTGAGGGTCGCTGGCGGAATATTGAGTACTCCATCAATTATGCTAGTTTTATATATGTAATAGGTGAAAAGAGTGATAGAGAAATATCGAGTACTCCACTACCCAAATTGAATTCACCAATGTATGTAAATAGGAAAGAATGTATTGAAGAATCTGTGAGAATGCGAATGGGTTTGGATCTAGGAACTGCATGTGCAGGTGCTGAAATGGTCTAACCTCGATGGCTGGATGGGCAAGATCGAGGTCTGGCCCAGGACTTCCAAAATCCGAGGTGGGTGATTCGCGAGGCCTGCTCGTAATTTATTGTCAATTACAAAAGCTAGAATTGCCGGTGGATTGTGAGAAGTGATTGGCTCAATTCTGCACATGTGTATATATGTACATACAGGTTCAGATTTGAGCTTATATAAATCCAATGAAATATTACAGATTATGTTGCTTATACGGAAGAGCTGCCATTTATTTTCGTTTTTATCTTATACACAATTCTGAAGTTATGTTTGGGAAGATAAAGGTAAGACCTAAAGAATAATCATCCTGTCAACCGATGGGGAATTAAGCTCAAAAGGTTCGACTGTAAATTGGATTCTACATGCGACTGATGTTAAAATAAAAATGAACTTTTTTCAAAGACTTTTCTATTCGAATGACTGCGTTTAATTGATCCTAATTCCAGTAATCGTAATTGTGTTTTAGTTAGCTAATCATCACCCTGTTTTTAATGCACTCTTTCAAGCATTGCAATTATAGATTGAAGGACAATCGATTGTGCAATATCTGGAGAGGATGAACCCACTGATGGAATCTTTTTATAAATATAGCTTTAGTCGTTGCGTTTTGAAATACAAAAGGGCGTCTCTATATAGCTGACGCGTACCTATCGACTCCGGGAACATTTCCAAAATATTTTTGTTGAACAGATGATTTTCGCGATTCGGGAGGTGGCGTTTGGACAAATCAGCGGAAGTTCGTTGTCTTTTTCTCTTTTTTTAAAATTTTTTTGACGGCGAGCTGCTATCTGCCATCCACAGTATAACACGTCACCTCCACAATTACCAGGCATGTCCCCCGCAGGAAGCTCCATTATTATATTTTTATTCGTCCTGCTCTGCTGCCCTCCGGACGGAGAATTCGTTCACTTGTGTTCGTGATTTAATTGCGCGAGACAAGAGATTTTTTGCGTCCGGCGTTGGTAAACAAAGTGCAATTCACCGACCTGGAAGATCGGAACAATGGAAACGCAAAAAAAAATCTTCCGACGACGGCCTTCGCAAGATTGTTAATTCCTTTCAAGTCATTATTACCTGTTGCTTTACCTTTCGCAAAGTGTGCTCAGACCTCTATGACGATATAATACACAAAAGAATTGCCGTTTTTTTATATCTAAGATGTGTAACGCGTACATGAATAAAAAGAGTAAAACTGCGTTAAAATCTATTTACTTTTAACACTTCTACGTCGTACTGACACATATATATTGTACAGGTACTCAAG